TATATTTCACATGATAGCCTAAGACCACTGAGAAACACCAGTCACACTCCTTGCATACACACGTATTGAATCAAAATTCATTACTTACATACAAAATCAACGTCTTCAAGATCCCTAATTAACAGCCAAAATTGCGGTGCCAACACCAGTTAAACAGACAGTACTAAATCAGACTTGAGCCGAGTCCAAAACATAAAGCGCACACACTGTTCATACGCCTAATGGAGCCTCGAAGGGTATCAAACGTGAAGATAGCATCACCTACAACTAGCCTATGGTCATCTACAACCAGATAGATGACACACAACACTTAACAAAACACCCCCCCCCAAAAAAAAAAACTCAGTTTAATTGCCGACATATTAAAGACCATAAGAAAGGGCAGAGGCTTGTCATACCACAAACATGAGCTATCATGCATGTCAGGAGGGCATAAGATGCCATGTTAAATGGTACGCCAAGGCCCATGTCAGCAGATCGCTGATACATTTGGCAGGATAACTCCCCATTTGCTACATAGAACTGCAAAGAGATATAGAAGAAGCTTATAAAAGTGTGAGGAAGGAAGTGGCAGGCAATGTGACAGCTTTCAAAGAGACCCAAACCTGTGCAGACATGTGGCAGGGTGGAAGTGCCATCAATTTTAGATCGGCTGGATTCCATGCTGAGAGGATAATCCGCCGATCATCAGGATTATTCTTTATCTTGTTAATAACATCCAAAAGCTGATCAAATCCTTGCCCCGAGTAGTCAGAATGCATCCCAGTATAACTATAAATATTAAGATGGTAAAACAACAGAGATGTCCTTTAAGTCCCACACAAAATAGAGGAGGATATACAACCCACCTACCTTGCACCGAAGTGCCTCCGCTGAAACCCATATATAGGTCCTAAATCACCATCCTCCCTCTCTGTCAAACCAATACTGTAATATAAGCATCAATCCAGTTAGTCGCAGCAAAGAAAAGAAAACAGGAAAGATGTATGTATTAGTCAATTGCGAACCTATCAAGGCATTCTTTGGATGCATTGCCATCCCATATGCAGATGCCTTTTTCCTGCAGCACCTGTCAACAAAACATCTTTTCAGAAGGGTTCATAACCTCATATACTAAAAGCCAACAAGAGATTCTTTGAGAATTTGAAAATTTAAAAGCAAAACAAGGGCAAATCACAGATTTTTGCTGATAGTTTAGTTCAGCACCATGTAATATTATGGTCTTTTTAATACCTTGGCATTTGTTGAACCACTTATAAACCAAAGAAGCTCTTCAACAACCCCTCGCCAAAATACTTTCTGAGGACAAAATGAAGAAATTATGTCAAATTTTTATTAACATGTGAAGTAAACATTCGTCTTCCCTAATAAAACTCTGATGCATAAACATAGAAAGTAATTAAAACAAATCCACATAAAAAGGCAAAAAATGAAAAAAAAAAAATCAATTAAATTATTTTGGACAAAAGATATCTTAAATAAAAATGCATACATGCCTTAGTTGTTAGAAGAGGAAAGCTTTTACGTAGATTGAACCTCATCTGTAGAAACATAGACATAAGAAGTCAGCATTTATGTGATAGAAACCCCTTACTAAACGAATAGAACATTACCTGGCAACCAGGTTTCGATAAGATGCCAGTCCCTGTCCTATCATACTTACGAGTTCCTTCAGAGATGATTTCTTGAATCAGTCTAAGATACACGTACTCCTCGTGTCTCTCAAAAATCATTTTAGGAAGGAAAGAGAATTTATTGGCCCCAATTTTTGTGGAATCTGATGTACAATCAGAATTAGTATCAGCATTCCGATTAAGGTGGTTGGCTGCAGAACTCCTCACACGCACATAAGTGGTGAAAGAATAACGAGTGTTGTTCTCCACCATAGGAAAAGATGAGTACCATGGCCGGAAAACTGAGGAGTCAATCGGAGGCATGAAAGTGTCGCACTCAATACTTGTCTCAATTTCTGTAATGTGGATAGCTTCACAACTAGGTGCATTAAGAGCCTCTCTGTAAATGGAAATTATAAGTTACAACAGAAAGACGCTTAATAAAAATGTGATTTGAGTTAGGAGAGAGGGAAAAGGTCACTTTGAGGGGGAAAAACAAGATATACCTAAATATCTGGCCACCTCCTATAACAAATATTTTCTCAATTGATAGAGAGTAAGGAGAAGCAGCTAATAGTTCCAAAGCGGAAGACATGCTTCCACAGGTAACAACATTCTCTGTATTTACCATATCAAATCTTCCCGAGCGAGTAAGAACAACATTAAGACGACCGGGAAGAGGTCGGTTCTGAAGAGGGATACTCTCCCATGTTTTTCTACCCATTAAAACTGCGTTCTTCTTCCCAGGATCAGATGTGGCCTTAGTGATCTCCTTGAAAATTTGAGATCACAGGGTAATCTCCAGGGTAATTTTCCATCCTTACCAATGCCCATATCCAGGGTCGCAGCCACTACCACTTGGTATGTCCTCTGTGAATTAAGTGGTGAACTTACATTGACATTGCCATCGGGAATTACACAAGAACCACTGGCCATATTAGAATTAGAACCTACATAACGGCAGAAACTTGATGGCAATGTCTGTAGACAGGGACTGCACAACCAATTGTTTTGGAAGTGCAGTGGAGCCTGAAACCACGACTTAAAAAATATAAAATTAACTCTATTACATGACATCACTTGCGTGCAAATGGATCGTAAATAAGCACCAGCCTCTATTCGCGAAAATGCAGCAGCGGTGTCAGATACATTACCCAACAAAAAATCACAAGACCCGTGTGCGAAGAAGGGCCACAAACCTTCAGGAAAAATTTACCTTTCGGAACAAATCAATAATACCAAAGCCAAAATCACAAAAATAAATTATCATTTTTGAGATTGAGCTAACGAGAAGTGGAGCCAATGGGCATTTGATCGAAAAAGCGGGTAGCGAGCGAGAGGTATAAATCGTAAGCTACAGTCTGAGAGTTCACACTTCACACTTTGATAGAAAAAATGATTTTTTTAAAAGGAGATTTCCCCCCGAGGAAAAAAGAGGAACAAATGTCCAGGCCAAAACCACTGTGGATATAGTTACCGCCCAGTGCCGCCAATTGCAGACCGGGCTATGAATGTCCGTACGATACGATGCCATGAGGTGGGGTGTTCTCCTTTTTTGCATAAATCATAAATGCGACGACTTTCTTTTTCAGTATAAATTAAATTTTGCAAATATATATATTAGGAAAAATGGTAAAAAAAAGACTGTGAAAATAAAAAAAATTACTAATAGAGACCATGACAATACTAGTCTGGGATTTGATGATAATAGTATGAGTTTTGACGATAATTTTTATAAACGGGTTCCTATATGCAATTTTTTAATTTTAAAGGTCTCTCTTCGAAAGTCACTTTAATTAACTTCACCGAACATAAAAAAAAAAAAAAAAGAATTGTTAGTTTAGCTCATTAAATCTCTTTCAAATTGCAATTTTTTTTCTAACTCTACCTATAAATGAGGCTGTGGAGAGGGGAAAAAAATGCGAGGAATCATATTTAAATATTAATTATAAAAATAAAATTAACAAATAAGTATTAATTACACTCTAATTAACTTGTATTTTAAACTAAGTTATTATTTTACAAAGCCATTTATATTGTAAATTAAAGGAAGTATAGCATTGTCAATGGTGTATTCGAATGGCTGGTTAAGAGGCATATTTGAAGTAACAGCGATATTTCAAAAAATTATGTCTGCGAGTTATCACCTGGCAAAATTTTTAAGCGACTGTTGTTAAGTTTCTCAAAGCTCTGTAGTTAACAGAGTTCGTGACATTTTTTTTTCCATATGATTTCGTGAGTGTGATTTTATTTTTTTAACCACATTTGTGGGTATGATTTTGGGTATATGAAGAAATAAACTATTTTCTCCTCCAAAAGTAAAACGGGGTTAATTTAAAAGAAGAAGAAGAAAAAAAACTTGCAGGGAAAAATAGCTAATTTTACTCTATGTTTGATACAGGCGAAATGGGGAGAGAGAGAGAGAGTTAAGGGAGGAAAAATTTTAACAAGCTTGATTTAAGAAATAAGAGAAGTATGATCTTAAAATTTTAATAAAAATAAGATATAAGATAAAAGAGTAATGAAAATTAATTAAAAGTTTCTAACCCTACTTCTTTAATTTTTTTTAAAATTAACCTATTGAAATTTTTCCTCCCCTTCTCCTCTCCATTTTCCTCATGCGAAACAGCTCCTCTCCATTTACCTTGTACAGAAGGGACCTTAGTGTATTTAACATTTGCAAAAGAAGTTTTTTTTTTTAACAGAAAATAATTTATCCGATATATTATAGCACTTGGTCAAACTCTTTTTCATAATGCATAGTTTAAAATTATATGACATTTTAAAATATTTATTTAAAAATGCCGCACCTCTATCAAATTATTTAAAATATACTACCTCCGGTCCTTAATATAAAACCCTGTTTGACTTTTATTTTGATCCTAAATATAAGACCCCAATCCATTTTGTCTCTCATATTTATTCAATTTTTTTCAAGATAATCCTTCTAATAATTATAGTTCTAGTTAATACACTTGATTAGTAAGGATATTTTAGGAAAGACAACACATATTTAAGACAAATAATTAACTCAACTTACTTCTTTAATCTCTTTAAATTAGTCAACTGGCTCTTATAATTAGGACAGGAGGTAGTATTATATTTTGGGAGGCTAGAGAGCCGGTATTGGAACTTCCGGATGGATGAGTTCGTTAGTTAGTTAGGCGTCGTGCTGAAGAATATGAGCGGAGCTGCTTGCACATCGCTAAAGCTGAACACTTTCTGTTACGTCGTGGCGAAACCGAATCTTAAATATGGTTAAATAGGTCATCTCAAAACGATCACGTCAATTTAGCAGCATCAATAAACAGAATTGGCATTTCAGAAGCACTAAATCGAGTAGAGCCATTCTGGGGTGTTCCTTTTTATCCTCTTTTCATGGTCCTTTTGAGTTGGGAAATTTTGAGATCTTAAATATATGCGTTCCTCTTTTTTATTTTGGAATCTCCTCCTATATTCATGTCATAAAGGTATATCTATTGTCTCTTACCACTCCTCTCTTGACTAAATTATGATTCATTTAAAACTTCACGAGCTCAGAAAAACACCCTTTTAGCGATTTCTAGCTGCATGCGCTTCATATAATCTTCCAGTTTTCCCTATTTCTCTGTTGTTTCTGCGTTTTCTTTTTCTGTGCATGCCAAATGAAGGTTGGCTTCTTTATTGCTGAAAGATTTGGTCAAGTCTTGTCTGACTTTATCATTTCGTTTCTTGGCTTAAGGTGAAACTTCAATTCTGGGCATATAGTTAAATCTGAGGAGTCAATTCCAATTGGAGTAAGCTTGCTGGATTCGTTAATCATGTGTGAGACTATGTCTATGCCCATACCTACTGATCGATCCCTTAAAACGCGTAAGTGCATAATTTCCCTCGGCGTCTTTTTGCACAGAATTTTTTTCATTTCCTGCATGTGCTCTTGGAAGACTTGTGTACCTTATGAGGGTTATTGATTAAGGGTCAACTAAATGCTAAAATGTGAAATTGCATCCTGACTGTTTTGGAAAATCTCTTATCTATGATGGTGAAATGAAAAGGAATGAAGATAGTTGAGGTGTTCTATGTGATATGAATCTTAATGTGCTGTTTATAAAGCATGCCTGGAGATGATATTGGCCTAGAAATGTCAACAGAAAAAACAGCGGCTTGTTGAACGATGCCTTCAAAATGTGAATTTCTTTCTTCCATTCATTCTATTTTCTAATTCAAACTTGGGAGAGTAAATGTTTTTTTTCCTTTTAAACAATCACAGTTATTGAAATGGATAAAGCTGAGGATGAAAGGAGGAAAAAGCTTGGAACCATAAAGAAGGCGGCATTAAGTGCCTCGTCCAAGTTCAGGCGTTCCCTGACAAGGAAAGGTCGGAGGAACAGCAGAGTTATGTCTGCTGGTTTTGAGAATGAACTTAACTTAGAAGAGTTGCAGGCAGTTGATGCCTATCGCCAAGCTCTTGTCTTGGACGAGCTTTTTCTTGCCAAACATGATGATCATCATATGATGTTGAGGTAGCTAGCCAACTGCCAAAGTAACAATTTCTTCATCAGTAACTTCACTTCTTGGATCAATTAGTTTACTGTGTGATTATCCAGATTCTTGAGAGCAAGGAAATTCGATATTGAGAAAACAAAGCAAATGTGGGCAGATATGCTTCAGTGGAGAAAGGATTTTGGTGCTGACACTGTTATGGAGGTACTATTATTCGTCATTTTTGTTTTGTGTTCTTCAGTTTACATATGACAATTTTGGTTGATTTGTCTAACCTTAATGTCTTTGTTTTGATTAGGATTTTGAATTCCCAGAAATAGATGAAGTTTTGAAATACTACCCACAAGGGCATCACGGAGTTGACAAGGATGGACGACCTGTATACATTGAAAAACTGGGTCAGGTGGATCCAAATAAGCTGATGCAAGTAACAACTATGGACCGTTACATAAAGTACCATGTAAGAGAGTTTGAGAGGACCTTCGCTGTTAAGTTCCCTGCATGTTCTGTTGCTGCGAAGAAGCACATTGACCAGAGCACAACTATTTTGGACGTGCAAGGAGTGGTATGTGTGAAAATCTACATCTGTTTAGTTCTTCAGCCTCTTCGCAAAGATTTTTTTTTTTTTTGAGTAAAGCAAAAGAATCTCTTTAAAATGGTATTCCCATAATACTCATAAAGCATCTTCCATTTCCAATAAAAACTTGTGGAGATGTATCAATTACAATCGTTGGATTTGACATGTTAAAAAAGTTCCATAGAAGTTCTTACCGGCATGGTTCTTCAGGGACTTAAAAATTTCAACAAAGCTGCAAGAGAACTCATCCAGAGGCTTCAGAAGATTGATGGTGACAACTATCCTGAGGTACTACTTTAACCACAAAGGTTCTAGATTTTTTTTTTTTTTTTTTAAAACATCAACCATTGTGATTTCCTTCCTGGCTAAAATAGAAAGTTTTGGGTACCTAGTGCACCGACGATATACAGATTAAGGCAGTCCCACAGTAAGGATGCCTAATACGATTACTTATCTTTTAATGATTGACTTAATCTGTCTATTTTTGGTAGACCAGGGCCACTTGAGTTTTTTTTTGGCTAAAATGGGATCCCTCTGATTTACCATATTTGAACTTCCATATTTACAGACACTAAACAGAATGTTTATCATCAATGCTGGTTCTGGATTTAGACTCTTGTGGAACACAATCAAGTCATTCCTTGATCCCAAGACAACTGCAAAAATCCATGTAAGGATGTAAATATATTCATTTTGAAAAGTTGTTGATTTCTGCAAAGTGGGGAGGTATTTAACAGATCGACGGTTTACTGAACAGGTTCTAGGTAACAAATACCAAGGCAAGTTGCTAGAGATCATTGATGCCAGGTAATTTTTGCTCCCTGTTCGTTGAAATATGCAATCTCTACTCCATGGATATTTAGGCCGTCTAATTAAGCCCTGCAGTGCCATTGTTTAAACCAAGTAACATAAAATTTTCCTGGCCAACCTGATTAATTATGGAATCGCCATAGGAATGACCCTTCAGCTATAAATAAAACCTTTTCCTATTTTATTTACCAGCGAACTTCCAGAGTTCTTGGGTGGTACTTGTACTTGTGCGGATAAAGGTGGTTGCATGCTTTCTGACAAAGGACCGTGGAACGATCCGGACATCTTGAGGGTAATTTAGTCTTGTCTGCTCAATTTCTTTAGCGAAGGAAAAAATTTGAAGTTTTTTCTTTTGATGAATTAGAGGGTCCAAAATCAAGAGGGAAAATGCAGGAGGAGACCCTTAGAAGGGATTCTTGAGAAGATAATCTGTGGAGATGACGAGCCATATCTAACGGTAGTCTTTATCTACCAACTTTGTTCTGAAACTATGCTTCTCTATATCTGTATTTTCTGGAAATACGTGTTAATTATTTCTTTTTTGTTGTCTGCAATGTTAAGGGATGCAATTCTTTCAACAAAAGATCGATGGAGCTTCCATTGCCAGAGGTTGACAATGCCGAACACTCCCCAGCTCCAGGAGTAAGTTTCTCAGGGTTCATTCTGTTGAAGTTGCTCCGTGGTATATCTTGAATGAAATAGAGTTTAAGGACGTACTACTTCCGGTCCTATTTAAGGATGTACTAGTTATTTGTTATAAATAGGTGTTGTTTTTCTTAAAATATCTTTGCTAATCAAGTATATTGGTTAGAACTACCATTACCAAAAAGACTATTTTGGGGAAAAAAACAAATGTATAAATATGAGAAATAAAGTAGATTGGGGTTTTATATTTATGGCCAAAATAAAAGTCAAATGATGTCTTATATTAAGGAACAAAGGTAGTAATAGATTAGCAATTCAGCTCCATGCAACTGATTAGTTATCTGGTAATGGTAGTTCACTCTACCTGTAAACCTGAGAAGCTATAATTGATGATAGAACAAGAGCAGTGGGAGCATAGTAAAGATAAATGCATTGTGAATACAGTCTATAGGTTTGCCTTCTTTTAATCCATGCCCTAAAAAACGAGGACAAGCTTCATTGATGAAATGCGAGACATATTTATGAGCATAAATTGACTTCTCCTTTTTTATGCGTACTCAATTAACTTTTTCTATTGTATTTCCACCAATAAATTGCAGATCATGAAGCAATACAGTGTCCATCGGTATGACGTGCACGGGGTTGACAAGCCAATGGATGCAGCTTGGGTAAAACCAGTACAAAATGATAAACTTGCAATCTCTAAAGGTATTTATTACAAATTGATAGTTAACTATAACAGGTTCTGTGCATTTGCATAGACTTTAAGATGAACCATGTTATTCACTATCTGTGAATAGTATAGGATGACTCTGTATTTTTTTATGTTCTATATCAATATATAGTTAATATTATTTGTCAAACTTGTGCTTTCTTTCAAAAATTGGACATATGCAAAATCTAGGTGGACATATAACCCTATCAGAATTGGATCTCACTGCATATCTCTAAGTTATTAGCTCGATTTACCCATCTTCGGCACATTATCATACATTTATATTTCTTTTTTTTTCCCCCCTCCTCTTCCAACGGCTGCAGATATTTTCCCTGATGATGCTTACAAGACTTCTGTTGTACTCAACAATTCATTTATGAGTGGGATCATGGCCTTACTGATGGGAGTTTTAACAATGATCCGAATCACAAGGAACATACCGAGAAAACTCACTGAAGTGGCCTTCTATGACTGCTCAGTACACTGTGAGAGCACAAGAATGGAAGCATCAGGCATTTCCATTAATGATCACATGGCCCTGATTAAACGCGTAGCTAAACTAGAAGAGAAGGTGAGTGTTCTCAGCATAAAACCTTCCATGCCAAAAGAGAAGGAAGAACTTCTGAATGCTACTCTAAACAGAGTCAAAAGTCTTGAGCAAGAGTTAGCTGCATCTAAAAAGGTATTACTACTCGCTAGTTTCCCTTCATACTCGAATGTCATCATTATTAATGGACAAAAATATGATAAAAGAATTTTCATATCGTTTTGGACACTTTAGGCTCTTGATGAAGCCCTTGTTAGACACGACGAGCTGCAAGCCTCCATTGAGAAGAAGAGAAAGAAGAAAAAGAAGTTTGTAAGTCATCTAAACTCTTGATATCGATCGATTCCCCCAGATTCCGCATAAATTGTTATACATATACGTCAGTGTTTCTTCTGAAATAAATATCTTGAACCTCCAATCTGTTAGGGTTTATTCAGTTAATGCTAATCCACACATAATAACAATTTTCAAACATGAATTCTTCCCATCATAGTCATAGTTTTATTAATAAAAATATGGTGACAAGTGCTTTAAAAAAATGGATACACTCTTGAATAGAATCAAGTAAAAAGTGGTCTCACTTACACAAGTTATTGGGTTTGTGTTGCAGTTCCGCTGGTAGGGTTAAAATTGTGTTGCTACCTTCTGTGACAGCTCAGAGATTGAGTCCAAGGTTGAATTACGAAGTTGGCGGCGTTGTTATTTACTTGTCTTCAGCCCCATCCGTGTCTTTTTCCTTTAACCCATCAATAACCTTAGTTTCAGCTCTTTGGTTTACTATTTTCATTACTTGATTAAAAATCAAAGCGTGAAAATGTTTGTGTATATATTTTGTGAATAAATGTATATATTATAGATATATCAACGTAATTATAGTGGGGGGGGGGGAGAATATGTTTTGTAAATTAAAGATCGAAGTAAGTATTGAACAAACATTAAATGCTATCCAAATATTATGAATGTAGGGGATTGAATATCATTCTAGAACTGGTCTCCATGGGCCCAGTGGATAAAGTTACTCCTCTTTATATGTATATATGTATGTACACACACACATACATATATAGCAATCTGTCAAATTTCCCCGTCAGCATAATTTGTCCCGTTCTGAAAGTTATCATTCAGTTCTGTTATTTATTAGTCGCCTAAATAGTATTTTTCTATTCCTAAATATAATACCTATTTTATAGAATAATTTATCTTATAAAATAAATCTTATATTTAGAACTCGATGTGTATTATTCAGTAAGACATAACTTGAAAACTGCGTAGACTAGCCACCCATGGACTCATAACAAAGTCCACTCATATGTCCTTCACGACACTGCCTTGGTTTCGATTTCATACCACAAGGGATCCTATTTGGCTGTCTACTTCACCTGTTCAAGTCGTGTAGAATACAAAGACAAGAATTGAAAGAATGTCTGGATATCCAAATCATAATTTTAAAAATAATTTTACAATATACGAAATAAATATATAAAAAATTTATCGATTCTCAAAAAAATACTTCTAAAAATACTTCTGGGGTATTCCAAACACTGCCTGAATTAAGATTTAAGAAAAAAAGAGAGAATACAAAGTCGTCAAAACAACCATCAAACAATTCAAAGCCATCCAAGTTATGGATTAGCAAGAAAAAATCCCATATACATTTTTATCATGTTGTCGCTCTTTTACATGCATGATGTGTTGTCATAGAATCTCTCAACCCGTATGCCTTCAGCCAATTTTAGCATGCTAATGAGATGATGATATTCCTCGGTGCTGGAGATGTCGGAAAACGTGCTTTTTCCAGCAAGCAGAAGCAACATAATGCGAGAAATCAAACGAAGGTGCTCAACACAAACGCAATGCTCGCATACAAGCTGAAAAAAGAAGCCACCACTGGGGCTATACAAACATTTGAAACAAATTCTTCATTAGTTTGATCACAATACACTTCAACAAAAACTGTCCAGAGTTTACATCATGTGAGACGTCAACACTCATTAGCATGGAAACACCGCTTGCTTTGAGAAGAAGCATCCTCCTCCGTAAGAGTTTTCTCCGTCACCAACAAAACTCACCAGCAAAACTTCTTTTTCTGATGAAAAGGCAGCCAAATTAAACGAACGTCAGCATCTGAAAAAATATTGCTTCACCTGTGTATCAGAAAGAAGGTTACGCCAACTTACCCGTAACTTGGCTTCTTCCTGTCTATCGATGTAAGCAAGCAGCTCCTCTTGCCTCATTAGTGCTTCATAGAGAGCCTGTGCAGAAAAAAAGTCAAACAGAAACTCTTGGTCAACAATGAGATTAAAATTATTCTTCACACGGTGAACGGTTCAGCTAAAACATGCATGAAAACAGGACATGCACTCATAAGCAGCAAAAGCAAACATCATCTAAGCAAACTATAAATTGCATCATCATGACAGATGAAGGCTATGATACCAGGGTATTTGTTTACAAATTTAAAGATTAAAGACTACAGAAAGAATACGAGGGGAAAGAAGAAATGAGAACGCTTGGTGTTTCAGATGAGATGCAACTATACATTGCATTATCATGACTGCCCTTTCCGCAAAAATATCACACCCTACCTTCTTTGTGGCAATTAACTCTGCTTCTAAAGCATCTACCCGGTAAACTGCAGCATTCAACAATTCCTCTTTCTCCAAAGGCATCGCAGATGGCTTCGATTGGAGAGTTTCAACCTTCTCTTCAAGCTCGCTCAACCTTTTTAGCATAGAGGGGAGAAGATCTGCCTCTGTACATACTGCAGTTGGTGAAGGAGGACGACAGTCATCCTTGTTTGAGATATCAAGAGCTGTTTCTGAAGTGCTCTGATCATCTTTTCTTGCCGCTGCAGGAAGTTTCTTGGTCACGTGGCATGCGACTGAGCGGAAGAGGGTAAATACAGTCAAGAAGAAAACAGTCAGGGCCACCCAAATCCGAGCTCGAATCCCTTCTGGAGTTTTCTGAATGTCAGGAAGGGGAGGTGCACCTGTATTCAAGGACTCAATTAAAATTTTCCAAGAAAGTTACAGCAAATAATTGAAATCAAGAGAGCAACACTACCTTACTTAAAAGAGGTATTAAATAAAAAACTTCTTGTGTAAAAAATCACGGGGATAAAGTTGCTAACCTTTTGAAGTATATGATCTCTGGAGAGATGCTTGATTCTTCCAGCTAGCATCAACAGCTTTGTCCACCATCGGGACATATTCATCATAACCAGGTAGGTTACCAGCATAATTTGTCTTTCCCACTACCTTGGCCTAAGGATAAACCAGAAAAGGAGAACAAGTCTCATATAATTGTTATAGGAATGGGCAGCACAGCAAATCCTATTGCTTGGTATTGACAGGAGTTATGCTTTGAACACATCCATAATTTTTATTATTGTCACTGGTTTCAGTAATTTAAAAAAGTACACCACTGTAGATTATATCTCCCTCAACGGAGGATTTTTTTTTTTTTGGGGGGGGGGGGTGTTCATGATTTCTGTATCCCAAAGAAAAAAAGCATGCCAGTAAACACATCACAGCCATAACATATTAGGTGTAAGAATATGACAAAATAGAATTTATTTGGCAGCGATTCTATTTACAAAACTTAGAGATTGCGCAAAAGATCTCAAAACACCAATTGAATGTTTAGTCATCTAACAAAAAGACGGACAAAACAGATCACAGTGTCAACACTTACTTCCTCACGAACAGGGGTCAACCTAAGGTGTGAGTAACTCTTCATTGCTTTTGGTGATGCTAAATCTTCAGCTTCAGAACCTGATTCACAAGTGGATGTATCACTGCCTTTTACCTGCTAAGAATTTGCATAATTGTTGTATAGTTATTTAATGAAACCAAGAAAAAGGTTAAGAGGAAGGCATGAAAGAATGAATTTTGCCTGTCTCGGCCAAAGCAATAATTAACAATACAAAGAATTACCACGGGGTATCGTGGCTTGGCATATGCAATAACCTTCCCTTCGCTATTTAAAACTTTCACCACCTGCCTTGCACGCCTTGCTTCACCACTAAGAACCATCTGCAATAACTCACATGAAATAAACTGTTAGCGCATTGCAAATAGGTTGACAATTGTTGAGCTTAAGGCAAGTAAGGCCAGCTTATAACCTTCAGTATTGCGGGATTTCTCCAGGGCCCCTTATCAGATCTGAGGCAACCTCCCTGATCTGCACATGTGCAAGTACCTCCAAGGAATTCCGGCAATTCACTTCACCAAGAACATAGAATCTTTTGGTGGTTAATAGGATATTATAATGATGCTAGAAACAAATAATGCATTAGTCAATTGGCAAAATATAACACAAGAAAATTATTACATACATGGAGATAGAAAAAAAAAACGAATTTTATAGAACTAATCCTTACCTGGCATCAATAACTTCAAGCAATTTGCTCTGGTACTTGTTTCCAAGAACCTAGGTAATATTATAAAAGAAGCATTGAGTAAAAAGAAAGCAATATCAGCAACAAAACAGTAGACAAAGCTCTTAAACAACTAGAAGACAGCATTTTCACATACGTGAATCTTTGAAGTCGTTTTGGGATCTAGAAAAGTCTTGACAGTGTTCCACAGCAGTCTAAATCCAGGGCCAGCATTTATAATAAACATTTGGCAGAGAGTCTGTTTCAAAAATTAGAAAAGGTAAATCATTCACCAAAGTATATGTTAATCTTCCAAACTTCAAATACAGCTGAAATGGGAAAAAAAAAAACAAATGAAAGGAGATCAGTCACATAATAGAAAGAAGCAGGATTGATACCTCAGGGTAATTGTCACCATCGATCTTCTGTAATCGTGTGATGAGGTCCCGGGCAGATTTTGTAAAATTTTTAAGGCCCTGGTATTTTCACCATGATAAAAAGGTGGGTGAATAATAGAGCATCATAGGCAATTAAAATGAAGCACAAGAAGCCTGAAGGCCCAGCAACGTACCACGCCTTGAACATCTAAGATTGTGGTACTTGAATCAATGTGTTTCTTGGCCGCAATAGTGCAAGCTGGAAACTTTATTGTGAAAGCTTTCTCAAACTCCTGAACATGGTACTTTACATATCTGTCCATGGTTGTAACTTGCATAAGTCTGTTTGGATCAACTTTTCCAAGCCTTTCAATGTAAACAGGTCTTCCCTCCTTATCAACACCATGATGACCATGAGGGTAATAATTCACGACTTCATTTAACTCTTTGAACTCAAAATCCTGATCAAGCGTTAAATATGATGAAGTCAAATCAAACTTTTGTCAATTAAATTTAAATCTGGAAAAGTCCCATCATCATTAGAATTTTATCTGCATCTACCTCCATAATAGTGTCAGCACCAAATTCCTTCCTCCATTGTAGCATATCAGCCCACATATGTTTTGCTTTCTCGATATCAAATTTCCTTGCTTTCAGAAATCTACATAAAACATACAGAAATATATATATTATATATGTAAGCCCATTTGTCAAACCAAGATCATGGAAAAAGTAATTCAAAACCATCATAAAACAAGCACCTTAACATCATATGGTAATCATCATGTCTTTCTGGAAGCAATTCGTCCATAATCAGTGATTGCCGAAATGCATCAACCGCCCGCAACTCCTCAACATCCCGAACATCCTCAATGGACACAGAGCTGACACGGCCATCACTTTTTCTCCTGCTACTCTTTTTCTTGAGAGAATGCCTAAATTTGGTAGATGCGTTAATTGCTTTCTTTTTAAGAGATCCAATTCTTGTCCTCCTTTCATCCTCAGAGTTCTCAAAATCAGATCTTCTTTCTCTTTTCTCATCACTACCAGAGAAACCCTCAAAACCTAGCAACATCAAATCACAACAATCAACATAATTGACATTTCCAGGAGTACTTTTGAAAAT